TGTGTGTGTGTGTGTGTGTGTGTGTAGTGGGGGGGCAGAGCTGGAGGGTATCAGGTAGAAGAGACCTTAAAACAGGGTTTGTAGCCCTGCTTTCCATGGTAGGGATAATGATGGTGAACGTCAGTGTAAGAAAAACAGAGCCAGTTCCAAGTTTGAAGCCAGCCTGGGCCAAATACATAGCAAAACCCTGTCCCCAAAACAAAACAGAAAAATAAACACCAGCCGCTTTCTGAACGCTGCCACCAGGAACTGTTATAAGCACTTTCTGTGAATTCATGTATTAATTTTTACAACGACCAGATGCTTTGCCTACATGTCAGGTAAGCTAACATTTATTATGAGGAGGCTAAGGAACTTGCCCAAGGCTGATTGGGTACTCAGCCATAGAACTTTGGATGGCTTCTCACTTTCCAGCTGTGGTGCCCAGAGGGATGCTCAAAGGAATCCCATTGGAAAGCTCCTGCCTGGCTGTGGGCTTCAGTCCTACTTTTCAGACTTGGTCTTGAAGGATCTTTGAATCTAAAGGTCTTCTGGCATAGTTTGCTCAGAATCACATACTGTATTTTAGCACCGAGATTGACATGGGCCTCACCCGGGCTTGTAATTAAAGTACACCCAGCATCAGTTAAAAATCCTGCCTCTGGAATGTGGAGGGTGCAGTATCCCGAGCCTTCTCCTGTGGAAATAATGGTTTAGGCCAGTGGTTCTCAACTTGTGGGTCGCGGCCCCCTTGGGAGTCAAAGGACCCTTTCACAGGGGTCGCCAAAGACTATTGGAAAGCACAGATATTTACATGACGATTCATAACAGTAGCAAAATTACAGCTATGAAGTAGCAACGAAAATAGGTTGATGGTTGGGGGCCACCACACCATGAGAAGCTGTATTAAAGGGTCGCAGCGTTAGGAAGGTTGAGAACCACTGTTGTAGAGAGTCACAAGGCTCCTTCAGAACCAGTGTACCCTGCAGGGTAGCTGAAGCTAACCTGATCAGTGCTCCTCCCCCTTTGCATCGGGTTCCTCCTGGTCCTTGTGGTCCTTGTGCTCTGTTGTTCTCCGTGATGCCCTGGCTCCTGCAGCTGCCCCCACCAGGAATCTGGCACTTGGTAGGAAAGCCGGTCAATCACTGTTCTGTCAGGGAGCCATTTTTACATTCCAAGAAGGTGACAGGTTTAGAAGTTTATCATTTGATGAGTGGCCTGTGTGTATAAAGATGTAATGTTCAGTGACTAGCTGGCCTTTTACGATATTCACCACCTTCTCCCATTATGAAAAATAGACGTTTACGCCCTAGGTGTCTGTCCGTGTTGAATTTTTTCCTCCCCATAATCATTTAATTGCTTTTGTTTTGATTATGAAGTGTTTTAGTCTGGCATGCTGGACTTGTTAAGTGTTTAGTATTTCAGCTTATATTTTGTTTATTGTATTACTTTGCAGTTAACTTTACAGCATCTATTGATTTATTGTTAACATACTGCTGGTTATAAATATTGTATGTTCGCCATAGTGCCACGAGTCTTTCATGGCTTGGTTACTAGGAATAAATGGAGTTGAGAAGATTGCCATTCAAGGACACATGCCTCTGCTTGCTGGGTTGGCAGCTCTCCAGTTCCACAGCAGTGATGCAAAGCAGGAAACATGTATGAACTTTAAATCTCATCATTTAGCTTAGCTTGCCTTGCTGGTTAAGCTGTCCCTAATCTCAGGACAGCTGATACTGCATTGAACCCGCTTCAAGGCCCATGCACTAACCTATCGAATGGGATTCTGTAACATTGTCTTTTTTTTTTAAAAGGCTGGAAGAGGCCTCCACATGTAATTTTCCAGTAATTGATTTTGTTTTCAAAACTAGAAGTTTCCTGGCTATCTCAATAATTTCTTAATACTTTTTTAGTTGGTGATAATTTATCCCACAGCCTTGCCGCTGGCGGGCTTCTCCCACCCCGCCCCCTTAATCCTCATCATCTGTATGTAGTTATAGTGAATATTTATTGAGTACTTGCAGGGTGTCACACCTGTTATAAATAGCCTTTTACATAGGCCTGTTGCCTTAGCTCTGTCATGGTAATCCATGAGTAAATTTAGATGCGGCTCTCTGTTGTTACTTAGGTTTTTTTATTAAATGATAACACACGTGGTGCTGAATAGAGATCAGGCACATTGATTTCAGTCATGGCATCTTGAAATATTCTTTATAAAATATAACAGTATTACAGTTTTCCTGTATTGACTCTCCAGTAGAGCTGATCCACCTTTCACGGACTTCTCCTTCACCCTTCTGTGCGTCCGTCCCCCGTCCCCGTCCCGTCCCCGTTCCCCCGCCCCATGCATAAAGTCCCAGCTCTGGGGTCAGCCTGTAATGCCTCATAACCTTGCTTCCTGATAAGTGTTGTGTGTGCCCCTCACTGGCCCCTGCTTCCCCTTTGATCTGTCCGACCCTGCTCCAGCAGTCCTCAGCTTCCGGGGGACCACTGCTTCCAGTTGCCCTGTTTTGGGGTGTACTTCTATTGATCAGCTTTTTTTTTCTTGCTGTCCCACATAACTCTGCTTCCCAACACTTTCTTCACAAGCCTTTTTCTTCACATGGAACTGATGGCCTTTTTTTTTTTTTTTTTTTTAAATGCGCTTAAAAAGCTGTTCTTTTCTTGTACATTGCTCATGGTGGGGAATTCTAAATCTTTTCTCGGTGGATTCTGATAATTAACAGTCAGCAAATAATTTGTTAGGTTGGTCTGATAAGCAGCTGGATGATTCTCCTTAGCAGCTTCTCCTTAGCACCAACTCACCTTGCTTCTTTGTGGTCATGGGGATGGTGTACTCAGTGCTGGGATCCGGGTCTTCTGTTTCTATCTCTTTGGACACACGGTCAGCGTCCAACCTTAATCACCCTTCTGTCCGCTAAGCACCCTGGCCAACATAGCAGCACACAGTGACTGAGTCAACATACACATGACTGACATCATAATTATAGTTACAAAGACTGAGCAAAACTCCTGCGTCCCTGATACCTAAATCTGAACCTTGAACGCACAGAGGTGTACTGTGTGTTTGGTTGCCACGGAAACTTTTGGCTCTGTTTGAAAGATGTTTATTCTTCCTTCAGAGGTGGAGCAGGCTGCTTATAGTATCATGGGTTCACCCTGGGCTGAAGTTGTAGTCATGGACCTTCAGGGTCCTTAGAGCCCCAGCTTTAAGTCCCTCTGTTCAGAAGTCTCAAAGTTGCCAGTCCTCCCGAGGTGCCACGTAGAGGGACCAGGAGGGGAAGGCTACCTGACGGTCACGTGAGTGATGTGTTGCAGCCTACCAAGTAGTCTTCATTCCACGGCGCTTCATCCAGGGTTGCACTGCTTTTAATGTCGGTAGTTGTCTCATTTCGCTTTTACCAGTGGACTAGAGAAAATTCTCTGATGGCACAGTATGCCCTTGTGTGTAAGATGACCCGGCAGACAACCATTTTATGTTGTGTCAAGTCAAATAACCTCTTTCCTTTCCTCGTAAGATGGTGCCGCCTCCCCGCTGAGGTGTGCTGGGTGCGCAGCTACAAAAGTAAACCTGGCGGCCTGTTTCGGTTTGAGGTGAGCAGCCCTCTGGGCTAGCATCATCAGGTCCTTCGGAGCGCCACCTTACCACTCCGGTCCCGCTGTAGTGCTCCTTTGTTTATGAGTAAGCCGTCAGGAAACTCACACTTGAGTAGCACAGTTCGTTTTCTTGAAGACTCCGGTTTTATGTCCATGGACTTACAAATCAAGGGTTTGATGAACTTTGTTAGATTGGTGAGTAGGTCTCTTATTTAGGACAAAAATGAACGTGCTGCTTTTGCGGGGTTCATTACAAAAGAGGGTTAAACAACCTTGGGGGAAGATGGAGTCAGGGTGCCTATGGCAGCAATGGGATCTATGGCTTACAGCCCTTGACACACATGTCACTTTAGTCTTGAAGCCTCTTAACATTAGGCCACTTCAGATTTCCCATAAGCGAGTGCCTGGTGTACAGTTGATATTGGGTGACGGGCCATCTTTGGGTAAACCAAATCGGTGTTACATGACATTTTTCATCTTGGGATTTGTTGCTCCGCTGAAGATGTTTAATCTGTTTAAATGAGGGTGAGCTGGCCTTATAAAGGCCAGGTTAATTTGGTTGAGTGAGGCAGGGGAATAGAAATCACCGTTTCAGATGGAAATGTCTTCAGAGGATCTTTAAAGGTATGATGATGGTACATGCCAGGGCTTGAAGGGAGGAGGTAGGAGAATTGAAAATTCAAAGCCAGCTGGCTACATTTTAAAAATATCTCCAAAAAAAAAAAAAGTGTTTATAATACTGTGATAACATGCCGGCTGTGGTGGTGCATGCCTTTCATCCCAGCACTCGGGAGGCAGAGGCAGGTTGATGTCTGGGAGTTTGAGGCCAGCCTGGTCTACAAAACAAGTTCCAGGGTAGCTGGGGCTACACGCAGAGAAACTCTGTCTCAAAAAACAGGGGAGAGAGATACTGTGATAACATTATACCTGATGGATGCTGATTAAGCAAGCATGAACACAAATAATTTATGTTGGGTTTTAATTACCTGTGTTATTGGTGCCAGAAAGATCTAATTAACCACCACAGCCACGGACTATAGCACTATGATTTAAGGCCAATGAAGTTTTTTATCTGACCTAATCCCAGCTTCCCATTGACACCTCTTCTTGTTCGTCTGTCCGCCCTTCGTTCGTCTGTCCGTCCCTCCGTCCCTCCCTCCCGCCCTCCTTCCCAAACTACCTCCCTCCCTTCCTCCACCTCTCCATCCCTCCCTCCCTGCCTCCATCCCTACCTCCTCTTCTTCCTAAACTGAGGCCAGCCATGGTTAATGCTAGGATGATGATTGCTCTTTTTGACTTAACCTTGTACAGATCCTAAACCGTGGTGAGTTTTTCATGGCATCTCAGAGTACGCCTCCCATCTTGAACCTTGGTTGAGGGAGCCCATTTAGAGCCCAGCACTCAGTAGCCACTTATTCTCGAACTCATTGACAAGCTGTGAGTCTGCATAGGTAGGTACTCACTGCAGAAAGAGGCTTTTCTGGCCAAGGCTAAGAGTAGAGAGCTAGCCTATGGGTTTTGAGAACATTTCCATTTAACAAAACCACAGTAGTAGATTCCACCCTGGGGCCTCTGATCTCCTGAGCCTTTGACTTTTGACCAGGTTTATAGTACCAGTCATGAATTCCTTCCTGTGGAGCAGGCCTTGTGTTTGATCGGAAATCGATTATTTACCCCATCTCATGCTGGCGTCGTCACATCTTGCCTGGCAGGTTGCTTCCATAGCACTCAGAATCCAGCACAGGTTAAGACCATTGATGTCCTCTCCCCAGGTTTACCTTCTCCCCTGCATTCACCTTTTGGCACTATAAAACTACCCAGCAGGGAGGAAGTTTTCAGGTCAGTCCCAACTGGATTTCTCGTTCTCATAACCAAAATGAATTTTGTCTGAAGCAATAGGGTCTTAGCATTTAGTTCTGCTGGACCACCTAGACCAATGGCAATAGGTTGTGTTGTTTTGGAGACTCCTGGATCCTCTCCAACCAATAATTTATGGGGAGGTAGCCCACACCCAACTAACCTTTGTCAATCCATGTAGGGTACCTGTGTTCAAATTGCTTTTTAAAAATCAGCTTATAAAATAGTGGACTTCTACAAGGGATTTTTACACATCCTTGACTTAGCCCACCCTCTTCCCCTCAGGGCCAAAGGTTTTATATATATATATATTTCGTCTCCATATGGTGCATTTTATAGCTATTTGAATGCATTTTAAAAACCTGCTTTGCCCTCCTTCTAGAAGATCGGTTTTGTGGGGGCAGAGGCTGCTCTGCGTCTCATGCCTAGAGCTGTGCCTGGCCCAAGGGCAACACAACAAGCCTTCCTTGAATGTGTAAGAAATGGGCATCAGAATGAGTATGGTAAAATGGTAAAGGCAAACACCTAAGTATTAGTAGAAAGACCCTATAAATCTGTCCTGTGGCTTGGCGTGTTCTCTTTAGGTGGGGGCCACTTGACTTGGCCAGCATTCTTTGGCTGACACACCTAGATAAGAAGTAGAACAAGGCCGGGCGGTGGTGGCGCACGCCTTTAATCCCAGCACTCGGGAGGCAGAGCCAGGCGGATCTCCGTGAGTTCGAGGCCAGCCTGGGCTACCA